CAGCAGAAAGAGCTCCGTAACCAGGGCGCTTCGGCCCAACTGGACCTAGAGAAGAATAAGCAGCATCTACAGCAGCCCACACGCATGGCGAAACCTCACGCCTCCCTCATGCAGAACTCACTGCACGCAGTTCAGAACGGGTCCACCAGCAGCGTGGTCACCATCTCCCAAATCACACCCATCCAGAACTGCCTGGCCTACCCTAAAGTGGGCGACTCAGTCAAGCAGAACAACCGCGACATCATGGAACTCAAACCTGCCGTGGCCAGTGGTGACCAAGTCGCAAATCGACTCAAAGTGAATAACACAGCGCGGACCAAACCCGCAGGAACTGCCCGTGGCTGGATGAGACTGAAAAACAACATGGCTGCCCCTGGTTCACCTCCAGAAGATGAGAGGAGGGAGGGATTGAACAATGCGGCTAAAGCCGTGTCCATGGAGCACATTTCACCAGAAGTCAAAGTTCAGATAGAAAGTGTTGAGGAGGTTGGAAAATCCAGGAAGAATTCGCTTCGCAAAACGGACTCTTGGGATAGTGGCTTGACTTACAGCGACCAGAGACTGGATAGGGTTTCAGAACCACAGAGCCCTGTTCCTGGAGTCGGTGGAGGAGAAGGACCAGCCCAGGATTTTTACCCCAGTAGCGAGAGCTCATTCCAGGCCGCGCTGCAGGAGGCAAGGCTGGAGCTGCGGACAGAGATCCAAGCTCTGAACGGAAGGATGGCAGTTTTAGAAGAACGGGCTGGACAGATTCTCAGACTGCTTCTAGAGACTTCAAAACCAACGTCTAGCGAAGACCCAACCCCAAAAATGCACAGACCCAAACTCAAAGCACAAGGCAGCATCCCAGTGTCCACACTCAGTACGCCAGACTCTGAAAAGGATGAGGGTTTGCCATAGGAAAACAGACTTTGCATTCAATAAGCATTTGAGAGGAAGCATTTGTAGCATCATTGGGGCTTTTGTGCATCCAAATTTGGCACCTGTATCTGCAGCTTATACAGGAATGCCCAAAATAGGAGCTTGGTTTGGTTTCTAACTTCTGATTTCTGAGGATAAAACTGACAACTGAACATGTACTTTATGGGAACAGGAGTTGGTTTCTGGATCTAAATAACTGCCAGGAACTCTTAACCCCATCAGAGTACAGTGGCATGTACTGAGAAATACAAAAATAAGAGGATTTTTAGTTTTAGTGCTTTTTAATGTTCAATCAGCACTTTTTTTGCACACTGAAGTAATGCAGGAACTATTGTTTTTCCCTCTTTTTCAGCGCAAGTTTGTATATATAATGCATGTCCAGCTGGGTTCTGGCTTGCCAAAAATGTACAACCCTGATGACGTCTGTACAATTGATATTTAAATGCTTGTATATTATGCAGTTAACTGCATGCAGATCTATATATTCTCACAGAATGCTTATTTTCAATGTGTAAATGAAAGAGACTGTTGATTGTCTTGATATCACCATAATGTACATTCAGGTTTTTAACAAAATGTAGCATGACAGATCACTGAGGAAGAATGTATTGTGTTTGAAACATTTACGTATGCATGAATGACTTTAACAGCACTCAAGAACTTTGCCTTAAAGCACCTGAACATCACTCTTGAGATAAAGCTGAAGAAAAAAACCCTGCACTGGTTATCAGTGTTGGACAGGTCTGTCTTTCTATACATTTTAACTTACATGTGCCAGTTTTCATTTCTGATTTTTTGGTCAAGGATTTTGGAGCGTGTAGGATTTTATGCCCTTCATTTATGTTCCACTGAATGTTACTGGGTTTGTTTTATTTTATATAGCATCAGTAGCAGCTTTTGGGCCTGAAATGCAGCTTCACCACTGTATATATATTGACTGTATAATATGCAACCTTAATAAAAAATGGTAAATAAAAAATTATAATTGTAAGCGTAAACTGCAACGTTTTGTTCGCAAGATGACATTATAAATGATATTTTTAGCTCTCAAAACAAATCCCTTATATTAGGACTGGAAGGCACATGACCGAAACACATCTGGGCTACTTTACCTGATCTTCTCTTCAGCAAAACAAGATCACTCTGCAGATCAGGACACCACAATGACAGTGAAAACCAAATCTGAAAAAGTTCTTAAGGATTGTATCCTTTTAAAGGTATTGTTGAGTTTATTTCTTCTGAGGTTCACTTAAAAAGCTACTGTACACACACACATATTTTGGGGCATGTAAATTTTATTTATTTTTTCTTTTTTGAATGAAATTAAATATTTTATTCTGCAAAGATGCATAAAATGTATTAAAAGTGACTTTTACATTGTTAGAAGAAATTTCAGTTTTAAAACATTCTATTTACT